AAACACCAAAAGAGGAAGCAGAAATGGAAGAAATAGAAAGAGGTGAAAATATAGAAAACATGGATATAGTTTATGTTGAAATGAAGAGACAACAACATGAAATGAATAGTGATGAAGAAACCAGCACAAACCTAAGTGTAGTCATCAATCAAATGCAAAATCTCAGCATATCAACATCATCAGATAGAGAATCAATTGCATTTAATTTTCTACAGCAAACAGAAAGAGGAAAAGCAGTAGATAAAAATAAAAAGAGTACAAGGCTAATAACAGAAGAAAATCATGAAGTGCCAATATTTGTAGACACAATAGAACAGAGCCAATGGTCTCCAACAAATCATATATGTAACAAGAGCAAATCATTCAAAGCAAATATGCCAACATATGCAATGCCAGGTGCAAATAAAGAAGAAAGACTAAAGTACACACAATGGATTCTACGTGGTAATCACCACATTAAAACAATTAAAGAGGTTTTCAAAAACGGAAACAGTTGGATTGAGGTAGATTTTGACTGTGAATTCAGTAGAGATGCAGCAATGGATAGAATCAAAGAGAAAGAAGAAGATTGGCTCAAACTGATTCCAGAAGAATCAAAAAGTCAAGAAAAGAAACTGAGCTGCTACACAGTAAGCAACAGCAGAAAAGACAAGAATAAACCCAAAGAACATAAGAAATTGAATGAAAAAGAAGATGATAAAAATGCATACCTAGCAGAAGATGAATCAGAGCCATACATATGCCTAACAATATGGGACCTACCGGCAAACATTAATACAGAAGAAGTAGAATACATGTGTAAAAACTTCAAAAAAACTCAAGTTAAATGCATTAGAAGATCCAAATTCAAAGCTTTAGCTGTAGTCAGAGTAGAAAACATAAAAGAAGAAAACATACCATGGTCCTTACCAATCGGCATACACAGGCTGGCGAGAGTAAGCATAGGCGAAGAAGACTTCAACAAATGCAATTCACAAAACCGATTCACAGCAAAAATCTTAGAACTTCCAAGTGACGCATCAGAAGTATTACTACTGCGATGTTTGAAGAAAAGAGGAGCAAAATCTGTTTATATTCCATTCAACAGAAATGGAAATCAGAGAAGATCAGCAACAATTACATTTGCAACCGAGGAAGAAATGAATGCGGCACAAACAAAGCCAATAAGATTCAACAATCGCTTATTATTTTGGTCGAACTATGTTGAAAGAAAAGGAAAAAGTGAAAAGTAAAGTGATAATACAAGGTATAAGAGAATAGATAATAATGGGGAAAGCACGGATAAAGAAATATACGAATATGATTAAAGAAAAGAAAATAAACAAAGAAACAACAAGAACAGAAACGATAACAGAGACAGAGAGCATTACAGAAGAAACTTTACAATTGAAGATCAAAAGCAGGAGAAAATAAAGAAAGAAAAGAAACCACAATTACAGCCACAAGAAGGAACCATACATATCGAAAATATCTTAGAATGAATATTAGAAAGATTAGAAAGACTAGAAGAAGATAGAGAGAAAAATAAGATAAACCAACCTAAATGCTTCTAAGGGTGCCACAGTTGAACCAATGAATATAGACAAGGAAATCGAAGCATTTTTGCAAAAAGAAAGGAAAATCTTTGAGGAAGAAAGAGAAATTAGATTTCCTTGTCAAGAAGAAGAAGGTGATGGAATAGGAAAAGAAGAATTTAAAAATATAATAACAAGACAGAAACTATTAAAAGAGAAATGAAAAAAAGGAAAAAAAGAAATAAAGGTAGCATGCCATAATATTAACGGACTCAAAACCAAAGGTTGGAAATTAGAAAATTTGCTCGGCTGGGCAGAAGAAGAGAAAATTGCAATACTAGGAATCATAGAAACAAATATTACTAAAAGAGAAGGAAGGTTCCTAATATACGCAGCAAGCAAGAACTATATAGAATACTGGACAAATGCAGCAGAAGATAAGAAAAAAGGTTCAGGCATAGAAATACTAATAGAAAAACAATGGGAAAAGCATGTGAGTGCAGTCAAGAGGATAAGTGAATATATGATGGAGATCACGTTATATTTCAAGCAATTGGAACTGGTAGTAATAAGAGTTTATATACTACCAAATAATAAGACAATGGGAAAAAACATCCAACAAAAGATTGTAGAAATAGTTATGAAACAGAAAAGACAAACACAATTTGTGATTATGGGTAACTTTAATCATACAGCAGACAATATATTAGACAGGCAACATACACAATCAGAAAATTTTAAAAAACTACCAATCTTTAATTGAATGAGAAAACAAGACTTCATAGACAAGTACAGAAACATGCATCCGATGAGCCAAAATTATACATGGTCAAGCAAAGAAGCAGCAACAAGAATTGACTATATCTGGGTGTCAGAAGAACTGGCCTCAGGCTTGCAAGAAGCAAGCATTGAGGAAACAGAAGAAATCACAAATAGTGATCATAAAAT